CACACACACACACTTGCCACTCAGGAAACTGGTTCTAGTCCAGGTTCGCCTTGTTACCTGTCTCCTGCACAAACTCTTTGCAGCGGCTGTGACTGTACTCTTAAATGCTTCAAAGGTGAGGTAGGTTCCTGCCCAGCTGATGAGCCCAACCCTTAGGTCCTCGGTCTTTGGATGTCTGTGTATCCACTCCACCTCAGCCATGGGGCCAGTGCCACAGGTGATGACTCTGTCCGGCCCAGCCTTCCCCCCAGTGGTGAAGTCCTACAGGCCATATGGCCCGGAATAAGGCCCGTAGTACCCACCAGAAGCCGTTCCCAGAGGAAACTTCCCAGGCAGAGGTCTGGCCTAAGGCCCAGCACCTCTGTGACCCGGGAGCATTATGACTGTAAAGGTTGCCTCTTAGCCCACCACAGCGGGGAAAGGGCACTGGCCTGGTAGCATCAATCCGTGGGCCAAAGGAAGTGGGTCCAGAGCTTTGGACTCCAAGCAGTGAGGTAGGATTAAACTGGGGATCAGTACTGTAACCTGTGGCTTTGGGCCCATCCCTCCCTTTCTTATTAACAGGATAGGAGTCAACCTGTTTCCTTAACAAGGGGGTTCTGCTTGGCTCTCCTGCTCGTTTCCTTCCTTCCTTTCCTTTTTTTTTTTTTTTTAATCTATTCGTCTTTAGGGACCTTGGGAAGGCAAGGTCAAGCTGTTGTGGAAATTACTTCGCAGTGAAGGTGAGGAAAATGGACACATAGCCATTGAGGATAAAATTGCTCTTCTAATTTTAAAGGCTCACAAAGAATGGCCTAGGTGCAGGGAATTTCAGCACTGGGCTTCAACAACCTCAGCTGTGTTACAGGTGAACTGGCTGGGCAGAAAGCCAGATCTGCCGGAAAGGATACCAGCCCCACCCCTAACCCCCAAAAGGCTCTGCTGGATCACTTCCTGCAAAGCTCAAGGAGAAAAGCTCAGCCTAGAACCTAGACAAACTGAAATTATGAAAAGAGGTACATGAAAAGAAATGGTGGGACAACAGGTCTTGTTTAAACTTTGTTGGGATCCACAGGGAAACAGGCAATCTTGCTTGTGGAATAGCCCAGAGCCCTGGTCTTTTACATGTCCTTCTTGATTCTGCATAGATGGGGTCTTCCCAGTGGTCCCCAGCAAAGGCACCACCTGTGCTCTGTAAAATAAAGCCATAGATGCTGCCCAGTGTGGAATCGTCTGGGTAATTTTAAACACGCATGTTGTTGGGGAAGGCTTCGGACCAGATCGATCGTTTTTCTTAAGAGTGTCTTGGGACCTATCTTTTTAATGTCCATTTCTCCCGTGTACAAAGCTACCATGAAGAACGGCTAAGTAGCTAGATAAGGGATAGGAAGCAGATTCTGTGGTTTGTGGAATGAGAAAGGTGGATTCACACCCTTAAATAACAGTCCTCAGAACTGAGGAAGAAATGCATTTCCTCCCCTGAAAACACTACAGGGAGAAGCTGAGGAAGAAAAGGGCTTGTGTGTGTTGACCTCACAACTTCAGCTGCTGTGAGCCTCTCCCATATTGTCTTTCTGTACCCAGAGTAACTCAGCTTCCCAACTTCCAGGCTACAGACAACGCCGGGTACAAACCACAGCAAATTTATTACTCAATATCCAGTTCCACGTCATAGCACCACCCGGAGCCCTCAGTTTCCTCCCCCCAAACCTGGCCCCAAGGGTACACCCAAAACAGAAAAAAAAAAAAAAAATGAAATCAAATCCAGATCCCTGCTCCTCCCCTGGAAGCGGGGGCCTTGGCCAGGAAGCCCTTCCTCAGGTCCCAGCAGGCAGGAGAGCAGAGCCCTCTGCGCCCAGAGAGCAAGGCTCCGGGCTCCAACGACAAGAGAGAACATGCAGGAGCAGGAGCAGAGGCCTGTCTGTGGGGAGGAAGAGTGGGAAAGAAGGGCACTGCCTGAGGAGTCCGGGAGTCTGGTCATCCCGGGATGCACGCGGGAGCTTCCGGGCAGCAGGGGCCTGCCCCTGGCTGGCTAACGCTTTGACAGCTCATGGGACAGCCAGTCCAGCCCGTCGTACAGGCCTGTGCCTTGGGTGGCACAGGTAGCCTGGACGTACCACTGTAGGAAGAAAGAGACAACAAATCAGCACCAGGGAAGAAGAGGGGGTGCCTTTATACCTCCGTCCAGCCTGAGCTCCCGAGGAAGGGCTGGACCCAGTGCAAAGGGACAAGATCCTTACCGTGCGGCTCCGCAAGTGCTGAAGGCCCAGCTTGTCTGTCAGCTCGCTCACAGGCATGGCGTTGGGCATGTCCTGCTTGTTGGCGAACACCAGCAGCACAGCATCCCGGAGCTCATCCTCCTGCAGCTGAGGGGGTGGAAGACAGGGTGGCACCCACGGTTCCAAGGAGTCCTAGGCTCCCTGTTGACTACATTGTAGGGGAGTCCCCCTTTCTACCTGCCGGGTTCTTGGTAGGAAAAACAGTGTACTGTGCACTTTACTGCTGAACACAAGGCAGTTATAAGTGAGCACGAAACCCCTAAATTTTACCTCCAGAAGGCCTTCTAATTTAAGAACTTGGCTCTAAGTGAAAATGACAAAAATTCCAAAAAAACAAAACCAAAAAAAAAAAAAAAAAAAAGAAATGTGAAAGGCTGTTTCTCTTTACCATAGGTAACCCCTCCCTCTCCCCAACTCCTTAGACTTAGAAAAGTATTTAAATGAAAAAGACCTGTTCAAACTGGGTGAGATGCAACTTACCCAGGACCACAAAGAAAACCTCATATTCCCTGCCCACAGACTACTAGGCCTCCATACCACCCCGGAGAACGCTGTCCCCAAGCCAAGGGCCCAGTTCCCAGATCTGGATACTCACCATCTTCTGGAGTTCATCAGCAGACTCCTGGACCCGCTCTCGGTCATTACTGTCTACCACAAAGATGAGGCCCTGGGCGGGAAGAAGGGAAGCAGGAGGGATCACTCCCACCTATGGCCAGCCCTAGCCTGGCCTATTCTCTATCTTCACTTGTACCAATCTTTCTCATCTAGTAGCTTTCTATTAAGGGTCTTCAGGGACCACCACAAAGATAGAGGAAGCAAGGTAAAAGATGTTTGAGAGCTACATTAGACAGCGTGGTCCTAGAACCCTGCTTCCCGGAATAAGATGAGGGTGAGTTCTTAAGGAGTAAAACCTAGCTAAGCAAAGGGGAGGGCGGTGAGGGCCCAGGGCTCAGCCAGCGTTCAGTCCTGGTCCTGAGAACCCTCTCCCAGGGCTGCCCCTCCACCCTCCATCTCCACTCCACCTGAGTGTTCTGGAAGTAGTGCCGCCACAGAGGCCGAATTTTGTCCTGGCCTCCGACATCCCAGACTGTGAAACAGATGTTCTTATATTCCACTGTTTCCACATTGAAGCCTGCAGATAATTTTTTTTTTTTTTGAAGGAGAGAGAGAGAGAGAGAGAAAAAAAAAGTCCCTTAAGGAACTCACTAAAACCACTCGGATTAGCCGGGCTGTGGTGGTGAACGACTTTAATCCCAGCACTCAAGAGGCAGAGGCTGAAGGATCTGGGTGAGTTGGAGGCCAGCCTGGTCTACAGAGAGAGTTCCAGGACAGCCAAAGCCACACAGAGAGACCCTGTCTTCAAAAATACCACAAAATAAAACCAAACCAAAACAAAAAACCCATCCAGATCTCTACAGGCACACAAACCCAGGGGCAATGACCAAGGCCAAAGGGAACAGAATCCAGAAGGACCAGAGGTCAACAGATATGCTAGGTTTATGGTCCACGCCTCAGGCACCAGCAGGCACACAGAGATACCGTGACCCACTTCTCAAGTAGCTGTATCTGGTGTCAGGGTCAGGAACAGATAAGGGCCTCAGCAGAACTGGGAGCAGACCCGGAGATGGCCCGACGCGACATTCCCGCAAACCCTTGCCTCGTTCCTGGACTCACCTATGGTGGGGATGGTGGTGACAATCTCCCCCAACTTCAGTTTGTACAGGATGGTAGTCTTGCCAGCCGCATCCAAGCCAACTGCAACGGAGAGGGGCACAGAATGGAGATGGGAGCGAGGGAGCCCCCTAGAGACCAGGGAAAGGGAGAGGACTGGCCAGCTGATGGTGATGGGGGCGGAGAGCGGGAGAGCCTCCAGGTGCGATCTGTTCTCCACCTTCCGGGCCTTGAGGACAGTCTGGGTGGCGAGTGCCAACTCCTGCCCCTCAAGTGGCCGAGGGGCGAGAGGGGCTTGGGAGGTGAGGGGCCCAGGAGGAAGGCCGCGTTCCTTTGAAAAGTCGTTTCCAAGGGCGGAATCCTCCCTTCTTTAGTAGCCGGGCTGGGGCGGAGGAAGCGTCACCCCACCCAGGCCCCAGCTCCGGGTTTCAGGCCCGGGGCCGACACCGCAGATCCTGGCCTGCACAAGAGCGCAGCCCCAGAGGCTTTGGTGGAGGGGTGTCTCGGGGCCAGGGTACCAGGTGAGCGGGGCTGGAGGGACGCGGGGGCGGGAGGGCTGCGGCGGGGCCGGCGCCCCATCCGGGCCGCGCGCTCGATCTGCCTCACCCATGAGGATCCGCATCTGCTTCTTCCCGAAGATCCGCGAAAAGAGCGCGGACACCGTGAGGCCCATGGTGGGGCCCGGGGCGGGGGTGCGGGCAGGGACGCGGGGTGAGGGCTGGAACCGGCCGGCCGCGGGGGGATGGGGCGCAACAGCAGAAGGGCATGTCCTGCTTGTTGGCGAACACCAGCAGC